AGCCTCATGTTACGTCTTTTGCATCAAGCCCGTCTCTGATGCCATGGTTGCTGTCCTGATATTTGGCAGTGCATGGACATCCACCACCCAGATGGACTGGCCCCAGCGTGGGGAAGAGGCATGTGGGGTTGGCCAGTCACAAGGAGGAGCAGGGTCTGGGAGCACTAGCCCTCCCCATGCCCAGTGTGTAGGAACTGTGTGTTTTCCCTCCCAGGGGCAGCCATGGGCAAGCACAGCAGCAAGCTGGCTCCGGAGATGCTGGACGACTTGGTGAGGAGCACAGAGTTCAGCGAGCAGGAGCTGAAGCAGTGGTACAAGGGCTTTCTTAAGGACTGTCCCACCGGCATCCTCAACCTGGAGGAGTTCCAGCAGCTCTACATCAAGGTGGGCTCTGGCTGGGTGCCCAAGCACTGCCTGCAAGGCTGGAGCACCCTGCTTCTGCCAAGGCAAGGGTGCTGCTTTGGGTGCAGCCTCTGCACTGAGCTCCTCCTCCCTGTTTCAGTCTCTCTTTTCTCTCCTCCCTGCAGTTCTTCCCCTATGGAGATGCCTCCAAGTTTGCCCAGCATGCTTTCCGCACCTTCGACAAGAATGGTGACGGGACCATCGACTTCAGGGAGTTCATCTGTGCCCTGTCTGTCACGTCGAGGGGCACCTTTGAGCAGAAACTCAACTGGGCCTTTGAGATGTATGACCTGGATGGGGATGGGAAGATCACGCGCTTGGAGATGTTGGAGATCATTGAGGTACTGGTGCTTAAAATCAGCAGGGGTAGATTGTTTTTTCAGGCTTTTCACAGCTATTGGGTCGCTTTTGGTGCCAAAGAATGGGCTTTCCTGCCCAGTGCCTTGTCTGTATGATACCTGGTGTGCACCTGGTTGTAGCTGTGCAGCAGCACAGCTCATGCCAGCAGCTAACTGGGGCCCTGCAGAGCAGCAATCCTGTCCCCTGCCTTGTGCTGGGACCTTCCACCTATCCAACATTCCCGCTCTGGTACTTTGCTTCTCTTCTTCCTCCAGGCCATTTACAAGATGGTGGGGACTGTGATCATGATGAGGATGAACCAAGATGGGCTGACACCCCAGCAGCGTGTTGACAAGATCTTCACAAAGATGGACAAGGACAAGGACGACCAGATCTCCCTGGAGGAGTTTAAGGAGGCAGCAAAAAGCGACCCCTCCATCGTCCTCCTCCTGCAGTGCGACATGCAGAAATAGAGCCCTGGGTGCTCATTGCTGGACTGGTTGCAGCCAAGCTCTGCTCCCTGTGATGGTTTCCATCCCCATTTTCTGCTGAGTCTCCCCTGTGCCTGCTTGGCCCCAGGCGTGAGCCACGCTCTGTTCCTCCTGCTGCCCATCCGCCTCCACTCCCAGCTGCATCCTGGGCAGCCCACAGCTCATGGGCTGTAGCTCTCCCTCGATGGGTAGAGCCTGCTCTGGGTATTACCAGCTTGAGGTTACCCCCAAATCAACCCTCTCCCATCCTGGAGCTGGACTCCCCACAGCCGATGGCAAGCGTCCCGGATCCCCAGGGCCAACTTTTCCCGTATCCCTCCTGCTTTCTCACTGCATTCCCCCACTGCTCTGCCTGACCCATTCCCTGATCCGAACTGAAAGCAGCTCTTTCCCTTTTTCGCTGATTCTCCCTCACTGCTTGTGATGCCTCCAGGGAGGCTGAAAAGTCCAAGGCCTCCCTGAGGGCTTGCTGCCTTGGGTCTCTCTGCCCAGCTTTAGCTTTTCCACTTCTGCTTTTGCTGCTGGGAACAGCCAGGGTTGGTCAGGGGACTGTAGGGGAGAGCAGAAGTGTCCAAGGCCACCCCTAGGTGTGGTCAGTGTCTGATCCCAGAAGCCACCTTCTACTCCATCACCTGTGTGAGCTGGCAGAGCAAGTGGGTGACCTCCACAACTGCTCCAGCAGCATCTTGGGTGCTTTGTGGAGTTTCTGGCCTTCCTGGATATTGAGGTGATGTCTTGGGTCCCAGTTCGAAGGCAGACACTGCCTGACTCCTCCATGGGCTGCCCTGGGGCAAGGTCAGGTGTGTGGGTGTTGAAGGCATCTCCCCTGGTGCTGCTCCTAGTGTGTGGCACTACTGCAGGGACTGGTGGGTCCTGGATTGGGGCTGTGGAGAGGTGTGGATGGGTCCTGTGTCTCCTTCTTTTCCCCCATCCCAGCCTGCTGCCTCTGTCCCTAGGACAGGAATATTGTCACAGATCGGTGTTTAGTCTGCACGCTGTGGTGTTGATGACTCTAATATCTGTTAGGAGATGGTGAAGTTGTTATCTATTTTTTTAATGGAAAAATAAACTGTCCCCCAGGTGTGGTGTTCCCCCAAATAGCTTATTGGGGGGCAGATAGCTGCTGCAGCTATGGGGAGAGTGAGACGAAAACACTGCACCCCTGAGTGTTGTTCATGCGTCTCATCTGAGCTTGTGACACTCTGAGGGATGGAGAAGCCCTTGGGGACAGCATGGTGGGGCTCAGCCTGGGGACCCTTGAAGATGGGTGAAAGCGTAGCTCTTCTGCCACATGGGTAGCCCTGGGGAAGGGAACATTATTTCCTAGTGGGGGGGTAGGACCAGACATCCCTGGTCTGAGCTGGAAATGGGTCTCGTTTGTTGACCAGGAGCGTGGACCCTGGCTGTTCTGGGGCCTAGGCATAGCCAGAGGCCCTGGTGGCTTTGTCCTGGGCCCCATTCCAGCATCATCAGCAACTGGGACCTGCTGTCACTGTGTCTTTGTCCTTCTCAGCCTTCTCTTCTCCACTTCTATCTTCTCTGCACATATTTTCCTCTGGCCTTTCTTCTCCATCAGCAGCCTGCAGAGATGGTGGCTGTTGCTAAGGAGCTCTCACCAACTTTAAATACTTGTCTGGAGTTAATCAGGCAGGGCTGGCTCCCGACTGCGAGCCGGGCAGTGCGGTGCTGCTCACCCCATCCCACCTGGCTCCTGTGTGCCAGGAGGAGGTGAGCAGCTCTGCTTCCACCCTGCAAATCACCAGCATCTTGTCTGTCCAGCAGCAGCCAGTGCCTGAGCACAGGGATGGGAGGATGACCCAGCCATGCAGTGTGTGTATTTTCGGGAGTGCTGCTGAGGGATTGCTCTGTGCACCCCAGGTTGGGTGCTGTGCTCGCCTGGGCTGTCCGGGAGCGTGTGTGTGTCTGCAGCCCAGCAGTGCTGGGGGAAGGAGGGACGGGACAGGTTGTCCCTGCTGTGTGCCAGGGCTGCTGTCTGAAAGGGCAGCAGCTCATGCTCGAGAAGGGACTCCCAAGAACAGCCCTGGTGATCCTGGCCCATGAAGCTCCTGCTTCCCTTGGGGCCACCCCAGCGGAAGATCAGGTATTTCCCAGGGGGACCTGCAAAGGCCCTGGGGAAAAGGAGTCTTTGATGAGGCTGAAATGATGTTAAACCCCCAGAAGGGCATTCCACGGGGTTTGGGATCCAGGCAGCTGGGTGAACCCTGGAGCCAGCCCTGCTCACCAGCACCTGGCTTCCCCTGGCTGAACCTCAGAGCAAGCAAGGTTGTTTGATCAGTCCTGTCGGCAGGGACACGGGTGTCCCCGAAGCTGTGGTCCGTAGGGAGGGTTGGTGTACAGTTGCTGGCACAGAGCTTTGGGCAGAACCCTTCTGTGGGACTCTGTGACCTCCTCCCCGGCGCTGCCCTGTGCCAGGTGAGACGAGGTGGGATCTTCCATCACTTGGCCCATCCTGGCTGCTGAGTTTTGGTCTCCGGGCCACAAGCATGGCCCCAAGGGCCTCTGGCCTGAGGGGTTCTGCTGGTCATGGTGCAGTTTTCAGCCTGAGCTGAAAGCTGGGCTCTCTGCATGTCTCTGTGGCTGGACTTGATCCTGCATTGCTGTGCTCCTGGGAGAATGTTTGGTGAAGAGCCTCAATTAATATCCACACTCATTCCATTAACCAGCACACAGCACAGGTTACTCTGGCATGGAGCAGAGCATGAACATGTCTGTAACCCACTGCCACGGCTGCTCCTTCCC